ATTTGAAATATTTTTTTACAAAAGTGTTTTATTTGAAATACTTTTCTACAAAAATGGCTTATTTGAAATATTTTTCTATAAAAATGGCTTATTTAATTCTTTATTATGAGCGTAAACAATGTTAGTATTCAGATGAAAGCCGACATTTACTTATCTACGTCTTTCGAAGACGACTTTGTCCTTGAATACAGTCGTCGTCGTGTACAATAAAGATGACTTTCAATTTCAATTTTTGATTTCTACAGCATGGATACGCAATACACATGTATATTGTATAAACATGGAAACAAGGAGAAGCTGTCAATTAACAGTTTAATTAGCCGTGTTTACTTGTAAATTTGTAATTTGAAAAAAAGCTTGTTTGAAGTCAAAAATTAAATAGGAAAGTCGTCTTCATTATAATAATATAAATATCCAATAGTAGCGTCAATTTCTATAAGTCTTTAACTATTTTCAGTGGGTTTACAATAAGAGGACATTTTAGAATCCTGGAATACGTAGTTGTATACTTGTATACTTGTATACTTGTATACGTGTATACTTGTTTACGTGTATACTTGTATACGTGTATACGTGTATACTTGTATACTTGTGTATACAGTATACACGTATACACGTATACACGTATACAAATATACAAGTATACAAGTATACACATATACAAATATACACGTATACAAGTATACACGCATACAAGTATACAAGTATACAAGTATACAAGTATACAAGTATACAAGTATACAAGTATACAAGTATACACGTATACAAGTATACAAGTATACAAGTATACAAGTATACAAATATACAAGTATACAAGTATACAAGTATACAAGTATACAAGTATACAAGTATACAAGTATACAAGTATACAAGTATACAAGTATACAAGTACACAAGTATACAAGTATACATGTAAAAAAGTATACAAGTATACAAATATAAAGTATACATGTCGGTTACAATACAACCTAGAGAGGTATGCGCGCCCAGCTAAATAATGGTGCGCGGGATGAGACTGCGCATTCTAGATGTTATTCTGACAATAGGGAATCTAGGGATGGGGGGGGAATCTAGGGAAGGGGGGAATCGACATTAAGGGGAGGGGAAGTTAAAAATGGGAGTAGAAAGGGGGGTTAAAAATAAGAAAAGGAAGGGGATAAATGAGGACCAAGGTTTAAGAAAGAAAAAGATAATAAGGGAATAAAGATCCACCGAAATCTAAGATAAGGAACACTCTAAATAATCCCAATAACTTCCTAACCTAATGGTGTAAACCTTAGATAATTCAAACTTGGACCGTTACAACTAGCTAGATGTAGAATTTATAGTTTGAAACAATATATGCATGGAAGGATAGTGGAGAAGATATGGGAAGGATAGTGGAGAAGATATGGGAAGGATAGTGGAGAAGAAAAGGGAAGGAGTAGAGAAGATATGGAAAGGATAGTGGATGCATGGAAAGATAGTAAAGAAGATATGGGAAGGATAGTAGAGTAGTAATGGGAAGGATCGTAGAGAAGATATGGGAATGATAGTAGAGTAGTAATGTGAAGGATGGTAGAGAAGATATGGAAAGGATCGTAGAGAAGATATGGGAAGGATAGTAGAGTAGTAATGGGAAGGATGGTAGAGAAGATATGGGAAGGATATTACAAAAGACTTGAGAAGGATAGTAGAGTAGATATGTGAAGGATAGAAGAGAAGATATTTGAGTGATACTAGAGAAGATATGGGAAGGATAGTAGAGCAGATATGTGAAGGATAGTAGAGAAGATAGGACAAGATAGTAGAGAAGATATGGACGGGATAGTAGAGCAGATATGGGAAGGATAGTAGAGAAGATATGGACAGGATAATAGAGAAGATATGGGAAGGATAGTAGAGAAGATATGTTTAGGATAGTAGAGAAGATATGGACTGGATAGTAGAGAAGATATGGACAGGATAGTAGAGAAGATATGGACAGGATAGTAGAGATGAAGATATGGACAGGATAGTAGAGAAGATATGGGAAAGATAGTAGAGAAGATATGGAAAGGATAGTAGAGAAGATATGGACAGGATAGTAGAGAAGATATGGGCAGGATAGTAGAGAAGATATGGGGAGGATAGTTGAGATGATATGGGAAGGATAGTAATGAAAATATGGGGAGGATACTAGAGAAGATGCGGGAAGCATATTGGAGAAGATTTGGGAAGGAGTAGAGAAGATATGGGAAGAATAGTAAAGAAGATATGAAAAGGATAGTAAAGAAGAAAAATGTGGAAATTAAAAGAGAAAAAAGAGATTCTTGGGAAAAAACGTAAAAAGTTAATTTCTACGCTGTAAATTCTGAAGGTGTAATTCCTAGCTGACAGATATAATGTTTATGATGGCGGGATACAGGGGGGGGGGGGTACATAGGTAAAGAGAGGGTGCACTGGACTGCACACTGTTATAAATCAAAATATGAATCAGCTTCACAGAGACAATTTCAGATCTTGGTATTTAATCATCCTTTCTACCTTGAAGTGCTGGAGTACTGAAGGAATTAAACTCATTGGGTTTATATCATATCCCAACACATAGTTCCCATCATACAAATCCCATCCCATAAATAGATCCCATCACATTGATCCCATTACACAGATCCCATCACATAGATCCCATCACACAGATCACATCACATATATCTCATTACATAGATCCCATCACACAGATCACATCACATATATCTCATTACATATATTACATCACACAGATCCCATCACATCCCATATATGTATATAGATCCCATCACATAGATCCCATCACACAGATCCCATCACATAGATCCCAACACATATATCACATCATATAGATCCCATCAGATCCCATATATGTATATAGATCCCATCACATAGATCCTATCACATAGATCCCATCACATAGATCCCATCACATAGATAACATCACACAGATCACATCACATATATCTCATCACATAGATCCCATCACACAGATCACATCACATATATCTCAGCACATATATCTCATCACACATATCACATCTCATAGATCCCATCACACATATCCTATCATATAAATCCCATCAAACAGATACATAGATACCATCACATCCCATACTTACCTTAAATTCGTATTTAAAAAATGTATGCACACATTACAAATCGAATTATACAGATGATACCTCACACCAGTCTAAAAGAATCTAATTATACAGATGATACCACACACCAGTCTAAAAGAATCTAATTATACAGATGATACCACACACCAGTCTAAAAGAATCGAATTATACAGATAATACCAGTCTAAAAGAAACTAAAAATCTGATTTAATTTAATAAAAAGTGGAAAGTTTAATTTTATTTTGTTAGAAATAAATTTCCTGTATGTAAAGTAATATCTTTCTTAAAAATTGAAAGCGGCAATCCTCAAAGCATATTTTCCATAGAGTCATGAATGAAACTTTACAACGTGGAATCCATGACAATCTAAAAAAACTAAATTAATTGACTTCTAGAAATTACCTTAAATACAATTTTTTTCTACATGAATGTATTTACATAATACAATTTCATGATTTTATCAAGGCAAACATTAGTTTTAGTTTTTAAATAAATATTTATCTATATAATAAAACAAGACGTTCGTGTTTATATATATATAGCCGGCGAAATGGTTAGACCGATTCGACTGAAATTTTTTGTGGACACTCAGGGGTGGCCGTGGGTTGTTATAGGCCAAAAACTCGATAAGTTTTTTTTTCGACATTAAAAAAAAAATTCCAGTGGCAACGCCGGGCCCTTTAGCTAGTCAAATATATTTGATTTATAAAAGAGACAACCCTTTTTGCTCATGTTTTAGTCTATTTGTGTTATATCTCTTTACTGACTTTTTCAGAAAATCAGTAGAATTAAGATAAAAAAGAGTAAAAATGCCATGATTTAGTTTTTTTAATCCCCCTAACCCTAAATGATTAAATAATTTCAACCACGTCATTGCCTGGCATTCCAGAGCATGTATGTATTTCAGTTGAGTTCCCATGTATTGTGTAGAAACGTATAAAGAGGGAGGCGTGAAAAGGGGTTTATTACAAGTTCTCCTTGTTAACACTTTATCAAATATATATTGGTTGTATCANGTGAAACAAACATACTACTCTGTATGTGGAAGGCTGCTTTGAGGTCAATTGTTGGTGGGACGTTGTCACGTTATAAACAAGTTTTAAGATCAAAATATTATAACAATCTCTCTCTGGATCAGCTAGCTACCATACCAAACATAAACCTTTATTAAAATTAGCTTGGGAACCCAGCGTTGCCCAGTTTACTCATAATTACTCCAACCGTTTACCCGCAATAGGTCGTAAATTACGATTTTAACTATATTTCCCAATAAAAGGTGAACCACTTAACTTAGATTATAAAAACCAAAATTAGTACATTCTCGTGACTCTCCAGACTTTCCCACTCAAAACTTGAGGCCAATTGGTCCTGGGGTTCCTGAGTTATGATCGGGAAATTTTTTTTTATATCCCCCATAACACAGTAAATTAGAGTCTTGGTAAAAAGTCAACTGAGTCTTAACTTAACCCATTTTTACCCATTAAATGTTAGTTGACGTGACAAAACATAACCGTGTTAGTTTGACGTGACAAAACATAACACATGTTAGCTTGACATGACAAAACATAACACATGTTAGTTTAACGTGACAAAACATAACACATGTTAGTTTGACGTAAAAAAACATAACACATGTTAGTTTGACATGACAAAACATAACACATGTTAGTTTGTCATGACAAAACATAACACATGATAGTTTGACGTGACAAAACATAACACATGCTAGTTTGACGTGACAAAACATAACACATGTTAGTTTGACGTGACAAAACATAACACATGTTAGTTTGCGCTTTAAAACTTTTCTACGGAAAAGGTATGGGAGAATTGAGATATATTTTTTTATCTGAATAGCCAAGGAATGAAATCGATTGAAAACGAGCTGGATAACTTGATAATTTACATCTTTATTTGTATCAAACATTTGAACATGAAATTTGCAACAAACATATTCTTAATTGTTGCACTTTTGGAGTCTCCGTTTTCCTATTTACCAGCTCCCCAGATAAAATCTCCGCAAAAATCATCTAGAACTTTCACAAAAGCATCATCACTCATACAGCCTAGAATATGTGATGTTACAGGGTGATGCTACAGGGTGATGCTACAGGGTGATGCTACAGGGAGTCCAACAAATCATGATTAATTTTCTAAATAATTTTAAAAGTAAAATCATATTATGCTTTCAATACCAGAGATGTGAAGAATTTTGTTAAGATTTTAACAATTTTGGTTTTATCTAATAAATTCATTTCCAAGATAAAAAACAGCCATCAAGAAGTATTGCAACTGTCGGGTTTCGTGGGACACCCTGTATATTTACATTTTTCTAGAAATATTTTTTTTAAAATTCAATCATCTCTATAAAACTTTTGGAGAAGAGGATGTTTTCTTGTCGATATATATATTTTTTAAAACATTTTTTTCGATTATTTTCACATTCATGATGTTATTGTTCACCATTTTCAGGGTGGATTTTTTTTGCCGAGCCATAATTGAAACCTCATTCAAAATGGATACTTGAAATTGTGACATCTAACATTTGTCCATTATTAGATAAATCTGAAGGAAAAAAATCACCGTTTATAAATTCATCTTCAGTTAAGAATCCATTTCCATCATCGTCCAGTGCATTAAACAACTCACGGGCTCTCTTTCCTTACAAACAAATGTGTAAATTAAAGGGAATGTTATTAAAATTTTAATTGACCCTCCATTTTAAGAAGAGTGCCCGATTCACAACAATACTCTTGAATCCTCAACCAGAGAAATTATTGGGAAGATATTGTCGTTTTTTCAGCTGACAGATATGTGTGAATGTCAGACAATTCCTACATTGTTTGTGCAGCAGAAGTGCGCTAAGCACTTTTTGGAGACCCTGTATTAATGGAGGTTCACTTTAAAGTACGTCTACAGTTCCTTTAAAGGGAGTGTTCTTAAATATATCTTGGGGTTTAAAGATAAACCAAATATGAAGAATAAATATGGGTAATTTGCTCATATATATTTAACAATGTTCTTACAGAAGCAGAAATTGAAAATAAAGATAAGTATTTCATTTTTATTATGATTTCTATGAATTTGTGTTGGCGACCCACTTATATCCTGGCTGCCTTGTACATTAAGACTGGATTGACTTTAACTGTCGAAACGCCTTGAATTTTTGGTTTGAACTCACTTACTTTCATTCTATAGCTTTATAGCACTTCTGTTTAGCTTCAGTTTTAAGCAAGACATTGGCTTAATTTGTAATATTTTTGAGTGTGAGTTTGCAGCCTTTGAATTATTGTGATATGTACCTGGATCAAACCGTTTACAATCACTCTTTGGGTCAGCTAATTCCCTAGAAACCAGCTCCATAATTACCTGGATCAAACCGTTTACAATCTCTCTCTGGATCAGCTAGTTCTCTTTGAAACCAGCTCCCTAATTACCTGGATCAAACTGTTTACAATCTCTCTCTGGGTCAACTAGTTCCTTAGAAACCAGGTCCCTAATTACCTGGATCAAACTGTTTACAATCTCTCTCTGGATCAGCTAGCTCTCATGCAACCAGATCCCTAATTACCTGGATCAAAACGTTTACAATCTCTCTCTGGATCAGCTAGTTCCCTAGAAACCAGCTCCATAATTACCTGGATCAAACCGTTTACAATCTCTCTCTTCCCTAGAAACCAGCTCCTTAATTACCTGGATCAAACCGTTTACAATCTCTCTCTGGATCAGCTAGTTCTTTAGCAACCAGCTCCCTAATTGCCTTGATCAAACTGTTTACAATCTTTCTCTGGATCAGCTAGCTCCTTAGAAACCTGCATCCTAATTACCTGGATCAAACCGTTTACAATCTCTCTCTTCCCTAGAAACCAGCTCCTTAATTACCTGGATCAAACCGTTTACAATCTCTCTCTGGATCAGCTAGCTCCTTAGCAACCAGCTCCATAATTAACTGAATCAAAGCTTTTAAATCTGTCTCTGGGTCTGCTAACTCCCTAGCAACCAGCTCCCTAATTACCTGGATCAAACCGTTTACAATCTTTCTCATGATCAGCTAGCTCTCTGACAACCGGCTTCCTAATAACCTGAATCAACCCGTTTACAATCTCTCTCTGGATCAGCTAGTTTCCTAGGAACCAGCTCCCTAATCACCTGAATCAAACCGTTTACAATCTCTCTCTGGATCTGCATACTCCCTAGCAACCAGCAACCTAATTACCTGGATCAAACCGTTTACAATCTCTCTCTGGATCAGCTAGCTCCTTAGCAACCAGCTCCCTAATTACTTGGATCAAACCGTTTACAATCTCTCTCTGGATCAGCTAGTTCTTTAGCAACCAGCTCCCTAATTGCCTTGATCAAACTGTTTACAATCTTTCTCTGGATCAGCTAGCTCCTTAGAAACCTGCATCCTAATTACCTGGATCAAACCGTTTACAATCTCTCTGGATCAGCTAGTTCTTTAGCAACTAGCTCCCTAATTACCTGGATCAAACCGTTTACAATCTCTCTCTGGATCAGCTAGTTCTTTAGCAACCAGCTCCATAATTCTGGTCTTATCCTGAACCTTCTCAACCTGAGGTTCATGTAACACAATTATTCATTTTTTTTTAATGATTGGGAAATAATTACTTTTTAGAAATCGTGGCTCAAATGCTTCGTCGTTCTTGACCTAAATTACCGAATTCAATGAAACGCATTTAATACTCTGACAGGACTTTAAGTATGCTAGAGAACTGATGATCAATGAGGAAAAGTTTTCCTTTGCGTCTCAAAATATGATAGATAGTTCTCACATTAACTAATAATCAAAGATCATGCTTTTTTAGATTTCTTAGATTCTGTCAAAGTTTCCTGAAAATGTATCAACATTTAATAAGATTTTATCCAAATTTCTTTAAATTCTAATTTAGTTTTTTTTTATTTCGCATAATTTCTATAACAGCGATAAGATTTCTTCTAATAGTTTATGAATTTGCTTTATTAATAATTTAAAACTTATTGTATGAAAAACAAAATTGTATTCAAATGTATTCCTTATCATCTTGTGTCTCCGAGTGATCATGAGATGCATCTGAACTGATCTTTCTTTTTGCCTGTTGTTTTCCAGACCCGGATACAGGCAAGGAACAAGATCTTCCTGGATATAGTTAATTATAATGGGATTAGATTCAATGAATAAAAGAAGTGGTAAATACGTAGACATACTTCAACTTCTTCTTGTGTTCGCCGGTTTAAGTTAAGCTGGTTCAACTTAGTTTTAGAAGTTCAACTACTCCTAGCTATTTATTTATTGTAATATATTTTACTAGACTGCACTATATTGTTGTGTAGTGCTGCTGTACTGTACTGCACTATATTGTATTGTACATACTGTTGTGTAGTGCTACTGTACTATACTGTACTGTACTGTACTGTATTGTACTGTACTGTACTGTACTGTACTGTACTGTACTGTACTGTACTGTACTGTACTTTACTGTACTGTACTGTACTGTACTGCATTGTACTGTACTTTACTGTACTGTATTGTACTGTACTGTACTGTACTGTACTGTACTATACTGTACTGTACAGTACTGTACTGTACTGTACTGTACTGTACTGTACTGTACTGTACTGTACTGTACTCGTGCCATACATATCTTTGTTTTGCCTCTGTCTTAGCTTGTCCTGCATTGTGACTGGAAATTTTCTTTTTCCAAGTTTATTAAAAAAAAAAATTACCAAGACGCTTCATTTTATCAGACATGAGTGGAACCTCTTTCACTTTTCCATTCAGCATTTCATCTCTAAAATAATCTTTTTAAAACTAAATTCAAGAAATTTTATATACTTTATACCTTATATACCTTATACGTTATATACTTTATAGGTTATATACTTTATAATCCCAATGTCGTTTTAACCTGAGGGTTTTAGCAACTAAACTGCTGTGCAAACTTATTCAAGGTTCAATTCTTTATTTTTTTTGGAAATCCACCAATGGATGATTTCGAATGTTTTCTTTTCTTTTTCAAGTTTTGACTAATTGTATTTAAAGTTTGAATTATCAAAGGTCGGCCAGGCCGGATGCAATAATAAAAGGATTAGAAAATTAAAGTTTGATGCTTGTATCTTATACATTATGTTTTTGTCTTTATCTATATATGTATATACAGATTTTGCTTGTGTGTCTGGTTGTTTGTTTGTCCTTTTGTATTCAATAAAACGGCTGAACCAATCGAGTCTAAATTTTTGTGACCTAACATTTATGGATTGTGTCCAAAAGCTTTTTATGTTTATTCTATTTTGAAAACGCGCAAAAAAATATTTTAAATCTGCAAACTTTTTATTATTGTTTTATATTGTAAAAAGAGTAGATGCTCACAGAAAGAGCCATTATTAAATGTTAAAAAAGCCCTCTACTAACATTTTACCTTCGTCTTTTAGATTCTAACTCCTGTTCTTTTTCTAAAGCATTTTGCTGTTTAATTCTGTTTGCTTCCTTAAGTTTTGCTGCTTTCCTGTTTTGGTCTAGATAAATTATAAAATAAAGAATTTAAAAATTAGTTTAAATTAAAAAACCAATATTGAAATATACAATAACTACGTCACATCACATATAGTTTATGAATTATACAATAATTTCAATTTGAGACAGCAGCGAAGCCTTTCAAATATTCTTTTAATCAGGTTTTTTTAATAAAATTAGGCCTAAACCGTCTAAAGGTGTTAAGAATTAAAAAATAAAATGTTAAAGGTATTGTAGGCATAATTTCCTATTAGATTGTCATGTCCGATTCACAAGGATATCCGTTAAACCTTTGATCCAAGATGAAAAGAGGTATTTTTTATTCTGTAAAACTGATTTGCGGATTAATGCAGCAGAGACAGTAGCGTCAATATCTTCCCCATTGTTACTCAGATAAAGGTTTACAGGGAACCTTTGTGAAACAAACATACTACTCTGTATGTGGAAGGCTGCTTTGAGGTCAATTGTTGGTGGGACGTTGTCACGTTATAAACAAGTTTTAAGATCAAAATATTATAAATTTATAAATAATAAATAAAAAATAAATTTGTAATTACCCATTTCTGTTCCTTCCGCAATCTTACACAACTGAGAACAGTTTTTAAAGAAAATTTGTTTGAATTTAATTTAATTTAATTTAATTTAGTTTTTCATTTAATTAGTTGAAAAGATGCCAATTTCAAATGTTGTAAATGTTGTTCATGATCAACAGTTGATTTAGTTTTCAATGACATTTTCATGATTTCACCGTTAAAAGATTAAAAAAAATCAAATTTTAACTTTTTCCTTCGTGAAAATTTCCTCCATTTCTTCTGGATCTAATAATAAAAAATGTAATAAATAGTTTTTTATGTTCGCTACTTTTAACAGAAAGTTATCTTAAATGTTATTTAATAGTTCCCACGAAGAACTTACAACCCCCCCCCCTCCCACTTCCCCACAGTGGGGTATTAAGCGGGGGGGGGGGGGGGTGACAATTATTGAGTTTACACCATTTAAACCTCTTATTCATGTCAAAAAAGGCTCGGTCGCTTAAGATTCTTTTTTGATAGATGTGTCTAAGTAGTAGTAATTTTACGTTAACCCTGTAAAGGCTGGGGGTCTGAATCTATTTATAGCATGGGTGGGGCGTCACACGCCCCCCCCCCTGAAAAAAGGTCTTAGAGAATAGGTGTAGGGTTGAATTGCACGTTCGTAATCCAACTTTTCAAGGCCAGCTCATTGAAAAATATAGACCGATAACTTTTATAGTTTGGAAACTAAGGAGGGTTGAAAAAAATGCTAAAAAAGGGTTAAACAATTGTAAAAAGTATTTTTTTTGTTTCAAATAAATATCAAAGTGTGAAACAATTTTTTACCCTTTGTTTAAAAAAAAATTCAAAAAATCCTTTAAATTTCTATTCATTAAAAGTCGAAAATTCACGGTGACAGTGTCAAAGATGAGAGTGCTAGGGCAAATAAACTAGAGGGGGCGTCAAATCCCGCCCCCCCCCCTCAGCCTGTTTAGGGTTAAAGTTTTACAATCCGGCGGAAAACTTGTCATTTCCGTGAAACCTCTTAAATTAGATATTTTATAAACAAATCAGAGACAAAACAAATTCTTGGGCGCACTTACGACGCCCCAAAATTTTTATTAATGGTCATTATAATCTATTTATCTATATCTATATTACCTTAAATTCCTTGTAATTTCTTGTATAAAAGCTTTCGAGAATATGTTGTAATTCATGGATAAACATATGAACGGGAAAAAGTAATAAATTACAATGTGATGTTTGTAAATGAAAAATTCAGCATATAAATTAATTTTGTCCATTCACACCATGAAACACAAAGCATATGCATTTTAAAAGGAATTTTGTGACAAAACCAGTTACCCCCCCCCTGACCCCCTAAAATACCACACTATAGATTCAAAAATCACCAATTTCTCCACTTCCATCCTTGTCGTACAGTTTAAAGGTCCAATGTAATTTATCAGCAACTAAAACAATAAGAACCTTGATATTGTCGTCTTTCTTATTGAAACTGCAGGGTGTCCCAATAAACATGGGAATTCAGTGACGAATTCGATATCGTCTTTTTGAATAATTCTTCAATTTAGTATAGTGATACCTACTGTTTCGTCTGCTATGTTCACATTTTGTTTATTTATGTTTTGACTGCATACAGAATTGTACTTAGTAAAACTTGAGAATTGCAGTATACAAACAAGGTAAACTTGTCCGTCTTCACTGCAAAGACATTATAGACACATCTTTAAAGCCATTTACCGAATTCGTCACTGAATTCCTATGTTTATTGGGACACCCTGTAGGTTTCAAACGTGTTCCAAGGAATTCGAGGGCGTTCTGGGCGTTTTATGGCGTTCCAGTGTGTTCCAGAGCGTTCCAGGGTGTTTCAGGGTGTTCCAGGGCGTTTCTGGGCGTGGGTCTCCAATATAAATGTGTGGTCTCCAATGAAAATATGGGGGTTTTACAATGAAAATATGGGGTTATCCAACGAAAATAGGGGATCTCCAATGAAAATTTGGTAGTTTCCAATGAAAATTTGGTAGTCTCCAATGAAAATATAGGGTTCTCCCACGAAAATGTGGGTCTCCAATATAAATGTGTGGTCTCCAATGAAAATATGGGGGTATCTTACGAAAATAGGGGATCTCCAATGAAAATTTGACGGTCTCCCATGAAATATTGGGGTCTTCTACGAGAATCTGGAGTCTCAAACAAGACGTCCATGAGGGTCTCCAATGAAAGGGGAATCTCCAATAGTAATGATGAGTTTTTCCCAGACTGTAAATTGTGGCGGAATTTTCAGTTTTCAATGATGGATATCCAAAAAAAATTCGCCATGGAATGCAGTTAGTTAAAACAGTTAGGATACAAACAAATAGACTAACAGGCATGCCAAATTTCACTAACCAATATCCATGCACACAATACATGCAGTACATGCAGTACATTTGAATATCCGAGGCGGGTCAATCTTTCCTGTCCAAGTTTGTACTGTACCTAGCTCTATGGACAGGACTAGCCGGTGCAACAAGGTTGACGCGGTTAGATTTTATGCTTCATATAGGTTGAATTTACTTTTACCAAAGGGGCAGATTTGCGTGACCCACAAGATATATATTTGTTTAATGTAAAAGCGAAAAAAACATTTTGAACATTCTAAAAATAAAGCTGGCTTTGAAAGAGAATTTAATTGCCCTATACACCATGTTTTAAGTCGAATTTTACACAAATCCCAATTACGGAATGGCCAAATACCAAAAGAAAACACAATCAGCAAACAAGAAAAAACAGAAAATGAAACAAAAACGCGCAAAAAAATTAAACGCCAAACGAAAAATGGAAAAGGAGGATAAAAAACAAACAATAAAAAATAGAAAAATTCAAACAAAACAATACACATACAATACACATACAAACAAAACACAAAATAAAAACAGAAAATAGAAAAGTAAACACACAAACACAAAGCGCCAGACTTAAGATGAAAAAGTATTATAACAAAAAACAACAAAAACCAAAACATAAAATAGAAACAAAAAAAAGCAAAAAACAATGCAATGCAATTGAAATTTAAACAAACAACAAAATTTTAAACAAACTGAGAAATACCAACTAAACCAAAACAAACAAGAATCAAATAGACAAATTCTAAACACATCTTTGCAAGTGCCCGGGGTAAAAGAATCCCAATCTAATTCCAGTAGTAATATAGTAGTCCTGTATCCTACTCCTATTATTAACATATCTTCACGGAGCCAGGCAATTATACTTACATTTGCTAGAAATTATCATTACAGTAATACAGCTAAGGGGAGTGGGAGGGAGGGGGGGGGAGTGTAAAGCGGCGTCGAAAAAAAATATCTAAAACGCACAATTTGACCTTTAAAACCACAGGTTACAAGCATTGAAATGAAACAAATTGGACCTAATGACAAATTGCTAAACCCATTTACAATATCTATTTATGCAGCTATTTTAACTTAAATTTAAGATTTTTAATCAGAAACGTGGTGAATTTAAACCGAAAACAAACAAAAAAGTAAAAATCACAACAAAAAATATAATTTCACAAATGATAACACAAGACAGTTGGATATGTAAATTTAATTAATTCAAGTTTTATTAAAATGTTCGATTTTTTATCAAAATCCGGGAAAAAAGGGAAACTGCTTTGCCGGTATAAAATGTTACTTATTTGCATCGGAATAAATAGTAAACTTATAAACCAAATACGGGATAAATATATATAAAATGTGGGATAAAAATTCTCTCAAAATTGAATAATTGCATTATCGCTTTTGCCGATAAATAATAATCCGTAAAAATGAATAGAATGTAGATATCTAACTTTTTTCAATTTTTTTTTTAAATAATGTTATAAAAATTAAAAATAATAATGAAAGTAGTATTATGATATATAGGTATTAAAACAATTGCCTAATTTTTTAAAATACTTTTTTATTTTAACAACTTTGTGAATTTGAATTCCAATCCATAATAATATATTGCAGTCTGGGACAGTTCAGTGTTAATTACAACCCTAAAATACTACAATCAGTTTAAATCCTAATTAGGGAAATGCTAATTAAGATGAATCCAACATGTAATTAAGATCATTAAACACGAGTTCAATGAGACAGTAGGACATTAATAACAAATAAAAATAAAATTTCTCATGAAAAACTTGAATTTGCTTTTAATTTGAAATAGAATCGTCTAATGGAGTATCTTAACCACAGAGTAGATATTGATAGAGGTTCAATGTAATGAGTACAACAGAAAAGCTGGGCAAAACTGTACAATTTTAGAAATATTGGGGTCGTTTGTGTACAGATTCTTAAAAACAAGTTATTTTTGCAGTGCTTCCTTTGTTTCTTATTTTTGTTTACATTTTACATCTAGCTAGATCCTAGATAATTTAGTATTCAGTAACTGAAAACATGTGTACTGTATGAAATTAAAAAGAAGCAACTCTCTAAGTATATTCAAAAATAGACTACTAAACTCTCTTTTTGAAAATTACATTACAATGTGTTATAAACCGAATTGATATTCATTTAAAATTAATTAGATATGTTTTAATATGCTTTGATATTTGTTAAATGTCAGAAAATTACTTAAAACTCTAGTTATTCTAATTAATGTATAAACTATTTTCCATTAGACAAAATCGTACCCTGATCTCTAATAGTTTTCCTTAAATCTATTTAATTGAAATGTATCCTACAGGGGAAGCAAGAATTGTACATAGATTAAAACAAAACTTCATCTTCAGCTTGGTTCACTGAAAGAGGAGTTTAACCCCTCGTGGGAATACAAGCCATGCACAACGATACCGGTTTTTTACTCGACCAGATGTGAGGACTGGACTACCATGGAAGATACCTCTCAAGAGAGCTTTCAGGGATCACAACTCCCCATTTTGCATATGGGGTGCAGTTATGGGTAAATTCCTTAATTCCCCTAACTGGGAAACAGTATAAAATGAAGGAACACAGGGAGAAATCCCCTATACCCTTCTTCCTACAAACCTCCTTATCTCTCTCCTACCTGCTCCACAACTCGATGTTAAAAGAACTATTTGGAAAGGCCTTATGTAAAAACAAGAAACAAGAAGCAAGAAGAAAAAATAAATTGAACAGAAAAAAGTGGAAGGGAAATCTCTTGACAGTAGAGATGGGTGCTTAAAGCAAGATAAACAAGAAAGAAGAAGAAAACTTTGAACAGGAAAAATTAGAAGGGGAATACACAGGATGGTAGACGTCCCATCCCCCCCTCTATGTCCTACTCTAGATAAAAAAAACTGGAAAATGTGGAAAATGCCCCCCTCACCCCTCTCCCCCTCCAAGAAAAGCTGGGAATGCAATAGCTGACTTGACACTGTATCATGACTGAAGCAAAATTTAAATATAAACAAGGGGAAGAGTAACCTTGTTCTCTCAATATATAGAATATAGATACAGGGCTTCAAAAAATAGTTCTACCTCTGCAATTTGGCTAGCTGCAGAAAACATCCAAAAAATTCATTTATTTTTATTTTTAAAATTAGCCATAGTGTGATTGAAGGATGGACAAGGAATGGAAATCAAGAAGAAAGGATTAAAAACAAGAAATATAGAAGTCTCAAAATGTTTACATCTGATATCATATTAAAATTTAAAAATATTGTAAAATTTAATTAAAATAAATTATTAAAGTTAAAAATTTAATTGAAATGTGTTGTTATTATTATTAAAATTAGATGGAAAAAAATAATCAAAACAGCCAAGAGCTATTTTCCACCTAATTGCTTTATACTTGTACTGTTAATATAATCATCAATTTGTAATTCTAAACTCGTCCTGTACGCAGATACATGTATTTAGCAATAAACTTGATCTTATCTTATCTTATCTAACCCCACGTTTTCGTGAAATGAGTCGGCTGAGTGTCTATTTTAATATCTAGTCTGTGATTCTAACTAACGAACTCAAAAAAAGGAAAAGTATCGAACAAAAGGGACTGTTCTTTCAATTTCAAGTGACTAGTAATTAAAGAGGTCATTGCAAGACCGACTAACAACGATTCTCTTTAGATTTTTTTGTGAACAGGGAAGAATGAGATATCCTAATTTTTCAGAAACCGACATGTTTTATAAGATAAAAAATTCCTCCTCAATCTGTTTATAAAAAAGAGGTTTAAGGTATCATTCTAAATCGGACATGTTGCTCTTTAAATGGAGGTTAACCTGAAATTACGTAAACAGTCCATTTAATTGATTAAAGCAAGTTTCCCTTTTCTTAGAAATTTTGATTTGTTAATAAATTGTTTTATTCTAATACAATTTTTATTCTAAAAGTAACAATTAAGTAAAGTGCCCAATCTTACCTTGCCTAGTTAACTTGCTATTTAGCTCTAATTAATTATTTTTCACTTAGCTATTTAGCTATCTATCTACCTAGCTATCTTTTTCGAAATTTTTTTATTTTATTTATCAATCTGACTAGCTTTTCAGATATATAGCTGTCTTTTTACCTATAGATATTTATCTCTTGCAGGCTATATAAGTAATTATAAAACTAGCTTTTTACATTTTACTATCTAGATATTTAGTTATCTAGCTTTCTATTTTACTAACTAGCCATTTAGCTACTTATGTATACCTTGCTATTTCGCTATCCTGCTATTTTGCTATCTAGCTATAAATTTATATAACTATTTATACCTTGCTATTTAGCTATCCTAGATATACTTCTTTCGGTTCACCTATCTATATATTTAGATGTTTATTTGCATAGCTAACTAAGTAGCAAACTATGTAACTTCTTATTTAGCTTCTTAGCTATAATTCTTCTTGCTTTTTTATTTAGCTGTCCAGCCATCTCTTCTTGCTATTTTATTTAGCTGTCCAGCTATCTCTTCTTCCTATTTTATTAAGCTGTCCAGCTATCTCTTCTTGCTATTTTATTTAGCTGTCCTGCTATCTCTTCTTGCTATTTTATTTAGCTGTCCAGCTATCTCTTCTTGCTATTTTATTAAGCTGTCCAGCTATCTCTTCTTGCTATTTCATTTAGCTGTCCAGCTATCTCTTCTTGCTATTTTACTTAGCTGTCCAGCTATCTCTTCTTGCTATTTTATTAAGCTGTCCAGCTATCTCTTCTTGCTATTTTATTAAGCTGTCCAGCTATCTCTTCTTGCTTGTTTATTTAGCTGTCCAGCTATCTCTTCTTGCTATTTTATTTAGCTGTCCAGATATCTCTTCTTGCTATTTTATTTAGCTGTCTAACTATCTCTTCTTGCTATTTTATTTAGCTGTCCAGCTATCTCTTCTTGCTATTTTATTAAGCTGTCCAGCTATCTCTTTTTATCTATCTATTTCATAATCTAACTATAATATTTACCTGTACCCTGCATAGACATTGAAAAAGCCATTAGAAGCTCATTAGGAACTACTTTCCCCGTCCCTCCAGTATCAAAAACTAAATTTGTATTTAATCATTCTTTTATGTCTTTTCAATCTTAGAATGAAATATTTAAAACTTTTTACATCGTGCTCTCAATAAACAAGAAAAAAGTTTTTGAATTTTCTCTGTTTCAATTTGTGGATTTTTGAAGATAATAAATATCAACATTTTTTTCCTAGCAAAGGAATTGAGTTTTTGTCACAAGCTCTAATTTTTTAACCTTTATATCTTTGCAACACAATGTCCTAAACCTTTGATATTGCAAACTATGAAATCTGTTAGATAAAATATTCTAAGTTTGAAATATCAGATTGCAAAGAAAAAGAGATTAAAAAATTTGAGTTTGTGGCAAAAACTCAATTACTGTGTCAACATGACTGTCAATAAATAATTTTAATACAAACAGACAGACACCCAGTCGATACAAGCGAAGCATATAAAAAGATAAAATTTTAAAATAAGATTAACAAGATGGTGATCGTAACTTTAGAATGGTGGATATGAGGATCATTGCTTGATCTCCTCTTGTTATTAATCTCCAGATTAGATATGACTTGTTCTCCTCTTGTTATTAATCTCCAGATTAATTAACAGATCGGGATTAAGGATTCTAAAGTTAACAAATTTAATGTTTACCTTTAAATATATTTGTAATCACGACATCGGCGTCACATCTAAACAAAAAGTCAAATTCTGAAAAATGAAGTTTTCTTCTCATGTCAAAAAGACACAAGAGTCATTAAAATACAGGGTGTCACACGAAACATGACAGTTGGTGAATATCTTAAAATTTCTTCATCCATTATTTGTTTAATTGTTTAATACTAAGGAGAATAATGATAAACATTATATGGTAGTTTTATTATAGTAAAATCGATCGGAGATCAAGATATATTGGAGTAAAAGATTTTTATACCAAATTAAGCTGCAACAAGTCTTCAAATCTTATCCAGTATTTGGAAGACGACATTCCAAACTATTCATCAACTGTCATGTTTCGTGGGACACCCTGTATCTTAAATAGTTATCTTTTTAAAATTATCTTTTTAATGAATTTTAAAGCAATAATGCCGGATTCCAACCATTTCTCTATACCCCGTTAATGGATTGTTAATAAGGAAGATATCAGCATTTTTCTTTCTCAATTTCCTGTTTTGTCTCTGCTACATAAATGCGTAAGTCAATGGTTTAAAGGGCACTGTTGTGAATCAGGCATGTCACGTTTTAAATGTAATTGTTTTGATTGTTGCAACATGTTACTTTCTTACAATTATTTAAAAAATATTAAAGTTTCACACTTGGGGTTTTTGGGGTCCTATGATCCCCCCCCCCCCTCTTCCCCCAAGGCGGGGAGGGTCCCTGGGCCCTAAGAAGCCTGAAATGGGATGAATTGAAATACTGTAATAGTATTAAAATAATTTTGTATACAAGTTGTAATTATCTTTAAAAAACCTTTAAAATCGAAAAAAATGCTAAAAAAACTTACCTTGGAAAAATTGTTCTAATTAGTTCAGTCATTTGTCCTCTAAGCAAAATAAACTTATTAAATGAAACTATTTGAATAATTTGAAACTATATCTGTAAAACAATATATTAAATATATATTTACTGTGTCCCATTTCAGAGGACAATTGAGAGACCACCTAAACTTTGCCTTCAATCTTTGCTAGCCATCTCACCCTGGACTAACCAGGGTGCTTTGCTAGCCATCTCACCCTGGACTAACCAGGGTGCTTTGCTAGTCATCTCACTCTGGACTAACCAGGGTGCTTTGCTAGTCATTTCAACCTGGACTAACCAGGGTGCTTTGCTAGCCATCTCACCCTGGGCTAACCAGGGCGCTTTGCTAGTCATCTCACCATGGACTAACCAGGGAGCTTTGCTAGCCATCTAACCATGGGCTAACCAGGGAGCTTTGCTAGCCATCTCACTCTGGACTTACCAGGGTGCTTTTCTAGCCATCTCACTCTGGACTAACCAGGGCGCTTTGCTAGCCATCTCACCCTGGACTAACCAGGGTGCTTTGCTAGCCATCTCACTCTGGACTAACCAGGGTGCTTTGCTAGCCATCTCACCCTGGACTAACCAGGGTGCTTTGCTAGCCATCTCACCCTGGACTAACCAGGGTGCTTTGCTAGCCATCTCACCCTGGGCTGACCAGGGCGCTTTGCTAGCCATCTCACCCTGGACTAACCAGGGCGAGATACGTTCGGTTTCTTCTATTTGAATTTAATCACTAAATAGGACGTGAAAATCTATTTTTGTTTTAATGATATCCTTGGAAACTTTTAGTACTGTATCTCAGATTTCAAAAAACACAGTTGAAAGAATTGGTTTAAGATTGAATGCTGCAAACTATTTTAATGATCAAAGACGATCATCAGGTCGTTTTTCAACAGTCATGTTGTGTGGGGATGAACACACTGTTCAACTAGTTGTATTTCCTAAAAATATTATAACTAGCTTGTTAAGACAAAAGCTTGTTTGAATGTCGTCATTTATTGGTACATTAGTATACAGTTGTTTATTTCGATTGTTAAAATGTTCAATGTTGTATGGAAGTTTTTGTTTTGATCGCATCTTTATCAATAAGTTTCAAGCTGTAAGATCTAAAGATTGTATCTTATTGACATTTAGTGTTAGCAAACTGCACTAATTTAACGTGTTTATACTCCCCAGTATGTTATAAGTTTGATTTCAACTAATTATTAGCTAATTGCTGCCTAAAGGGAGTATTCACGTAATTTAAAGTTCATATTTTTATTCAACTACCAAGAACGAGATAATACAAATAAAAAATCACAATTTAAGTGGTTGGCCCATTATAAACGAATGAGAATTGTAAATAAATACATGGGTATACACTGTACAGTGTACATTATAAACATAATAATGATGATAAATGAGGAAGAAGGTAAGGAGGTGGTGAAGAAGTATAAGGGAAAGGAAGGGTACTCAGTGGAAGGGTTGGAACAAAGGGTAACATATGTTTTTAAAATCATGTTTTTGAACTACAGGGTGAAGAAGATAGTAAAGACTAAGATTATCCACATGATTCACAGTTTTTTATTACTATTATTGTTATTATTAATATTATTATTATTTTCATTATTACACTTTTTATATAAAGTGTGCATGTAAGATTTACAATGGTACCCTTTTAATCTTTGCTTGATCAAATATGATAAAGATTTCCTTGTTTAAAGAAAATTTTTGAATTTTGGGTTTTCTTAATGATATTTTTAACCCAAAATGCGCAGACTAATGATTAAAGGGAACCATTGTGGATTCTTTAAACTACGTCTGCATCCAGTCATGTAACTAATCAACCTAATTACGGTTTTTGGGATTTTGGTCGTCAATTAGATTTCAAACTTCGATATAAAATAATAACAACTACGACTTTAATCCTATAACGATCGGGCTATTTATGTCTAAAATAGATTTGAGGGGGGGGGGGTGTTCCCCTTTTTCAAGGCCTGCCTATCAAAAAAAATCAAACCTCTAACTTTAATGGTTACGAGACAATTAACGGAGGATTTAAGAAAAGTTCAAAAAGTATGTCAGCAAAATGTTCAAAAATAATAATTTTTTTTTTCTTTGTGGGGGGGGGGTCGAAAACACCTCTCCCGCTCTTGGAAAAAAAAGTTTTCAGAAAAAAGTCCTAATATTTAATTCGCACTAAAAAAAGTCCTGTGGCAAAAAAGTCCTTTTATTAAAAAATCTCCGGAAATAAAGTCCTACCAATTGGAGACTTTATTTCCAGAAATATTTTTCTGGCTCCAGTAAGAATTCATACAAAAACGTCTCCGGAAAAGAAGTCCTATTAAAGTAGAAAATGCATGGGAACAAAGGGTTGTTTATAACCATGCAAAAAAAGGGGCAATTAATATTAAAAACACCAGGATGGCTATATTCAAAGTACAGATGCATAAAAAAGTCTTTTTTAATGAAAACGTCTAAGACTTGACCACATTTTTTTCTTCGGATATATTTTCTTCAGGACTTTATTTCCTGTGATCTTATTTCCTGAAACTTTATTACCCGCTCCCATATTAATTTAGGAAAAAAAGTCCCAGGAATTAAAAACACTGGACTTTATGTCCAGTGACATTTTTTCCAAGGACTTGAAAAAATTCGGACTTTTTTCCAAAATTTAACAGGTTTTTTTCCAGAAACTTTTTTTCCCAGGACTTTCTTTCATAGATTTATGTGTGAAGACTTAAAATAACAGTTTTATTTTAAATTTTAAAAGTTCGTTATTTTAAAATTTCTTATAAATTTGTTTTCCTGTTTATCTGTCCTTCAGGGAAATCCATTTTAAAACTAAAAATAAAAAAATATTTAATTTTGAAAATTTCAAATCCTTCTTTTCAACAAGTTTTACTTAAATTCATAATAGAGCTTAGTGATTAATAAGTTTTCCTCTGAATTTGGATTTAAACTAAAAAGGTTTTTCAAAATAATTTTCAATTCACTTAAAAATGATTTGTTTTACTTTTTCAAAGTAAAAGTAAAAAAAAAAAATTTGAAATCAACTTAAAAAAATTTTATTTCTTTACAAAAGAAATTAAATTTTTTTTATTTTAAACCATTTTTAAATTCTAATAATTTTTTAAATTATATTTTTCTATTGATTTTTTTATTCCTGTTCCAAAGTGTCATAATCTCCATCTCGGAAAACTGGTGACTCTGAAAAAAAAGGAAAACTTTGTTGTAAAGGCGTATGTTGTTAAAAAATGTATGGACAAATTCTAAAACAATATTTATTTCTGGCCGCAATTGAAATTAGGAATTAAAAGTTAGTCTTTCAAGATGTCTCCAGGAAAGAAAACCCATTACCTTCCTTATTCCATAATATACCACTTTAACTATAATGACGCAAACCTATGAAATTTCAGACTGCTGATCTAGGTTCCAGGAATATACCTAATACCATGAACCACTTAGGACTTAGTTTACAAATAAAGAGCACTGAGCCCGAAACTTAAGACAGGGTATCGTTGAGAAAACCAGTTTTGAAACTCGGGTTTCGCGAATGGGGCTTGGCAATTTTTTGTTTTGAAACATTATTTTATTTAGTTTTTTCATATTCTCCATTTTTTTCTTCTCTTAAATCAAAATCTGCACAAATGTTAAGACCCCAAAAAGGAAACTCGGTAGTTTCATTCAACGATACTCTTTTAAATTTTGGGCTCTTCAGTTTATGGACAACATGTCAACTCTTCAGTTTATGGACAACATGTCAACTCTTCAGTTTATGGACAACATGTCAACTCTTCAGTTTATGGACAACATGTCAACTCTTCAGTTTATGGACAACATGTCAACTCTTCAGTTTATGGACAACATGTCAACTCTTCAGTTTATGGACAACATGTCAACTCTTCAGTTTATGGACAACATGTCAACTCTTCAGTTTATGGACAACATGTCAACTCTTCAGTTTATGGACAACATGTCAACTCTGTCAACAGTAAACTAAGAACTCTAAGGCTTAACTTTGTTTACATTCGCTTCCCAGAAACTGCAGTACACTTTTGTTTTTTTACTTAAATGTCAGATCATAACTCAGGAACCCCTTGACAGATTTTTCTCAAATTTTAATTAAGAAATGCGTTATAACCACGGGAATATTCTCGGCATTGTTTAAAGTTAAAGTCGGGCTAATATTGGGCCTTTGTCTGGTCGGGCAAATATTGGGGATAATTGTCTGGTTGGGCAAATATTGGGCCTTTGTCTGGTCAGACAAATATTGGGGCTAATTGTCTTGTCGGGCAAATATTGGGGCTAATTGTCTGGTTGGGCAAATATTGGGGCTAATTGTCTGGTCGGGCAAATATTGGGGCTAATTGTCAGGTCGGGCAAATATTGGGGCTAATTGTCTGATCGGGAAAATATTGGGGCTAATTGTCTGGTTGGGCAAATATTGGGCCTTTGTCTGGTCGGGCAAATATTGGGGCTAATTGTCTGGTTGGGCAAGTATTGGGGCTAATTGTCTGGTTGGGCAAATATTGGGTCTAATTGTCTGGTTGGGCAAATGTTGGGGCTAATTGTCTGGTTGGGCAAATATTGGGGCTAATTGTCTGGTCGGGCAAATATTGGGGCTAATTGTCTGGTCGGGCAAATATTGGGCCTTTGTCTGGTCAGGCAAATATTGTGGCTAATTGTCTGGTTAGGGAAATATTGGGGCTAATTGTCTGGTCGGGCAAATATTGGGGCTAATTGTCTGGTCGGGCAAATATTGGGCCTTTGTCGTGTCGGGAAAATATTTGGCCTTTGTCTGGTCAGGCAAATATTGGGGCTAATTGTCTGGTCGGGCAAATACTGGGCCTTTGTCTGGTTGGGAAAATATTGGGCCTTTGTCTGGTCAGGCAAATATTGGGGCTAATTGTCTGGTCGGGCAAATATTGGGGCTAATTGTCTGGTCGGGCAAACATTGGACTTTTGTCTGGTTGGGCAAAAATTGGGCTTTTGTCGTGTCGGGCAAATATTTGGCCTTTGTCTGGTCAGGCAAATATTGGGGATAATTGTCTGGTTGGGCAAATACTGGGCCTTTGTCTGGTTGGGCAAATATTGGGCCTTTGTCTGGTCAGGCAAATATTGTGGCTAATTGTCTGGTTGGGCAAATATTGGGGCTAATTGTCTGGTTGGGCAAATACTGGGCCTTTGTCTGGTTGGGCAAATATTGGGGCTAATTGTCTGGTTGGGCAAATACTTGGCCTTTGTCTGGTCAGGCAAATATTGGGGCTAATTGTCTGGTCGGGCAAATACTGGGCCTTTGTCTGGTTGGGCAAATATTGGGCCTTTGTCTGGTCAGGCAAATATTGTGGCTAATTGTCTAGTCGGGCAAATATTGGGGCTAATTGTCTGGTTGGGCAAATATTGGGACCTTGTCTGGTTGGAAAAATATTGGGACCTTGTCTGGTTGGGAAAATATTGGGCCTTTGTCTGGTCAGGCAAATATTTTGGCTAATTGTCTGGTTGGGCAAATATTGTGGCTAATTGTTTGGTCGGGCAAATATTGGGGCTAATTGTCTGGTCGGGCAAATATTGGGCTTTTGTCTGGTTGGACAAATATTGGACTTTTGTTGTGTCGGGCTAATATTTGGCCTTTGTCTGGTCAGACAAATATTTGGGCTAATTGTCTGGTTTGGCAAATACTGGGCCTTTGTCTGGTTGGGCAAATATTGGGCCTTTGTCTGGTCAGGCAAATATTGGGGCTAATTGTCTGGTTGGGCAAATATTGGGCATTTGTTTGGTCGAGCAAATATTGGGCCTTTGTCTGGTCAGGCAAATATTGGGGCTAATTGTCTGGTTGGGCAAATATTGGGGCTAATTGTCTGGTTGGGCAAATATTGGGCTAATTGTCTGGTTGGGTAAATATTGGGACCTTGTCTGGTTGGGCAAATATTGGGCCTTTGTCTGGTCAGGCAAATATTGTGGCTAATTGTCTGGTTGGGCAAATATTGTGGCTAATTGTCTGGTCAGGCAAATATTGGGGCTAATTGTCTGGTCGGGCAAATATTGGGGCTAATTGTCTGGTCGGGCAAATATTGGGCCTTTGTCTGGTTGGGCAAATATTGGGCCTTTGCCATGTCAGGCAAATATTTGGCCTTTGTCTGGTCAGGCAAATATTGGGGCTAATTGTCTGGTCGGGCAAATATTGGGCCTTTGTCTGGTTGGGCAATTATTGAGGTTAATTGTCTGGTCGGGAAATATTAGGGCTTTGTCTGGTCGGGCAAAAACGATAAAGATATCCTTGTCATTCTAGAAATTTGCGATTTTGCTTTTTTCTATCAAAATTACTTTTGAAATTTTTGCGGCAAAAACAGATAAAGAAACAGACAGAATTTCACACATTTCTGGATAGAAAGACGAAGATGGTTTAATTAAAATAATGCAGAAATTCTTAACATAAAAAAATGTTTGATAAAAAAATTCCTTACCCCTTTCCGTTTGACTTGAACCTCATCCTCTTCCGCTATACTTGCAGTAGAGGTTTTTCTTTTCTTTTTAGAGTTTTTCTCAGCTGCATTCTTTATAGAGATCGAGGAGATAAAATCTCTACAAAAAAGGTGTTTTTAATAAATTTTGGAAAAGAGTGATTTTACAATTTAAGGATGTGTTTTTACTAAATTAAAGATTTGTTTTTACAAATTTATGGATGTGTTTTTACTAAATTAAAGATGTGTTTTTACAAATTGAAGGATGTGTTTTTACTTAATAAAAGATATGTTTGAACTAATTTAAGGATGTGTTTTTAAAAAATCAAAGGTGTGTTTTTACTAAATTAAAGATGTGTTTTTACTAATTTAAGGATGTGTTTTTACTAAATCAAAGGTGTGTTTTACTTAATTAAATATGTGTTTTTACTTAATTAAAGGGACCGTTCACTTATTTGGGTAATTTCAGGGTAAACTAAACAGCCTATTCGCTGTTGATTGGTAATCGTCTTACTTTTCAAAGACAACTGTGTCCGGAGAAAAAAGCCGATTTTTCGTTCAGAATTTGAGCGCAAAGGGACGGTCCTTCTCTATATATAAAATATGTATTTTTTTACTACTAAGTCAGGGATATATATGTTACTACTAAAAAATGGAAAAATACGTGTGTTTTACTACTAAGTTAAGGATATATGTGTTCCTTCAAGAAATTGGAAACATCTGTGTTTTTTTTCTAAATTATGGAAAAATATCAAAATATGTATTTTTTACTAAACCAAGATTGTGTTTTTATTAGATTATGTGTTTTTAATTTGTAATGGGTAAGTATATCTAAAGTATGTTTTTACTAAATTATAGAATTTATGTGTTTTATATTTAATCTAAATTCCAACAATCCAAATTTAACAATTGGTCTTGCAATCATGGTTAAAATATATCAACAATCCTTTTAATCATATTCAGAATATGTTAATTAATTTAATTAATTAATTAATTTAATTTAGTTAATAAACTTAATTTAGTTAATTAATTTAATTTAGTTAATTAATTTAATTTAGTTAATTAATTTAATTAGTTAATTAATTTATTTTAGTTAGCTAATTCAATTTAGTTAATTTAATTTAATTAAGTTAATTAATTTAATTTATTTAATTTAGTTAATTTAGTTAATGAATTTAATTATTCTAACTTCAAATAATCAGGAATTTCGTCTGACTGAGTTCGTTCCTTTTCTTTCTTCTTTTTTTTCTTTTCTCTTCTTCCTATTTTTATATTCTATAATCATTTCCATCATTAAACATTTCTAAAAAATTACATTTCATCTGAAAATAGGCTTTTTCAAGAAAAAAAACATTATTTTACATTCATTTCTGTTAAAGCAATAATTAGGTATTTAAGGGACTATCAGCTTAATTTTAACCGTCACTCTGGGCCGTAGTAAATGTTAACCGTCACTCTGGGCCGTAGTAAATTTTAACCGTCACTCTGGGCCGTAGTTAATTTTAACCGTCACTCTGGGCCGTAGTTAATTTGAATTTGAACAGGACCTGCCCAGTTTGTACCGGCCTGCCAGATAACAGTGTGTACTGACCCGATCCTATGGATGACCATATTCTGTACAGTACGTCGCCTTAACCAGGCTAACATACGACAGGAGTCAATTTTCTTGGCATAGTCCCGTGAGAGGGCTAACTATGACAACTCCCATGGCGTGTTCAGACTTTTTACAGTATCCGGCCTAATCCTGGGCCTATTTGACCGACCCCACTGGCTTAGTCCACCGAGGCGCCTTTCATTACAAGAAGGGCATATCTGATTCACAACAGTACACTTTATACCTTTATCTTGGGAAAAAGTACAAACATATCCTAGTTGTTTTATCTAAAAATTGATAATTTCCATTTTTTGGTTGTCTATATACAGGGTGTCCCAAAAAAAATGGGAATTCAGTGACGAATTCGATATCGTCTTTGTTATGAATTAGCATTGTAAAACCAAATTTCAAAAGCCATAATATTATTATGTCTGCTAGAGTTTATTTTATGAAAAGGGTAAAAGACTACAAAGATGTGTCTATAATGTACAACCGGTTGCAGTCAAAACATAAACAAACAAAATGTAAACATAGCAGACGAAACTCTTACAGATTACAGATTACAGCTTTCTCAGTAGGTATCACTATACTAAATCTAAGAATTATTTGAAAAGACGATATCGAATTCGTCACTGAATTCCCATGTTTTTTGGGACACTCTGTATTAACGTTTTTCAACTTACCCTCTATTACAAAAATGGCATATCTGATTCACAACAGTGCACTTTGTACCTTTATCTTGGCAAAAAGTATGAGAATATACAGTTGTCTAAAATTTGATAATTTTTAAAAATGATTTCTCTATCAATAGTGATTTTGCAGACTTTTGCGTCACAGACATTGCAGAAAAGGAATAAGAGGAATTGGGTCTGTGATGCCATTAACTTAATTTTTAAATTCCTATATTTTTGCTACCTCATGGTGACGACCTTTAATGTTTAAACTTAGATAATGTGATCTGACAGGATTCAAATTTAAAGGTATAAGAAACTGGATTGCAAAGATAAAGAGATTGAAACAGTTTATACAGAGACTCAATTCTTGAACTGAATTTGAATATAGAAAAAAACGACAATATCTTTTCCATTGCTGCTCGGATTAAGATTGTAAGGGCACAGGACACATTGTGCACGTTTTATTTCAACTCGCGCTCCGATATGTAACATGTAAATGTTTTGTTGGAATTGCAGATTTGTCAATATTTGAATATATAATGTTGTTCTTTAAATTCATTCAAGCTAACTACAAAAAAAGAGGACTCTATTCTCAGTATGTACTGTAACTCGTATTAACTCCATAATCCAAAATACTTGAAAAAGGATTTTTTTCTCCAATGAAACAAATATTAATATGAATTTTGGAAAAAAAAGAAAAATTAAAGAATTTTCTAAACTAAAATACAAAGAATTACCTCGTTATCATTGTACGTACAACCTTTTTTGTAAAAATAATAAAAACAATTTTGTATCTTTAAAATAATCTCGATACGGAGATAATAAATATCTAGATTTTAAAAAGATTGCATTGTAAGTCATGAAACTCAGTAATCGTGTTGCAGAGGGTCCTCTTAAAATGCTGTCTTCATTTCATTTAATCATGTTGATAATAAATGTTTTGTGATCACAAGATATATATGATACCAATTTTGAATATTTTTATAATTTCTATTCTTACGAACTCAGTCTATAATCATAAGTATAAGATAAGAAAAGAATAAAACTAAAAAAATTTAGAAAAATATTTATTTTACTATGTAACACAGATTAAACCCTATTTGCATTTTATTCTGTGTGTCCTCTTAAGCCGCCTGACCAGACATGGTTGTTTTGATTTATTACAATATAATTTAAACAGGTTAACAACCTTAGTTCAATATAGTTTTAAAAAGAATTGCTGAACATTTATTTCTGAGAAGTCTCGTATTTAATTACACTTTTTGATGTTTCTGAAATCAAAACTTTCCTGTGTCCTTTCTTCCTCCTGAGTCCCTGGAGACATGTCCGTTCTTGTTGCAGTTAAAACAGATAACTGTCTGTTTATGTTTAGCCCCTACATCATTCTTCTTAGCAGTGGTGTTCTTTCTTGCCATTGAAAGATCCTGTGCTCCATATTTGCTTCCGTTCAGTCCTGCCATGTTGGGATTTGGGTTTATTGGGTCCTTGTTATGTCTTTTAAAGACAAAAAGAAGCTCTTCCAGGTTTGCTTTAATCTCATCTTCATGCTTGATTGGAGCATAATTTAATCTGGCAGTTCAGTCTAAGTTCCGTGTTGTATACTCCATCGAGAACGTCAAGCTTAAAGCGTTCCAGGCTGCGTTCTGTAGCAGGGAACGCTCTGAGAAACAATGTCAGCTTTGAGTAGTAATAAGCTATAACGTGTTCGTTTGGAGACTGTATCCTGTCTCTGTACTGGTCTCTGAAACAGCACTTGTCGTACTCCGCCACAAAAGAATCTACAACGTAAATAAAATACTCCGAAGCATTTAATTTCTTGAAAGCTGGTCCATCTATTCTTAACTAGTGAACTTCATTGTAATTACTCATATCAGGTTTGAGACAGCAGCACCAAAGCATTTCTTTCAATTGTAAAAGGTGTGTACTGCACTGCATTACGAAAAGTGTGTACTGCACTGCATTACGAAAAGTGTGTACTGCACTGCATTACAAAAAGTGTGTACTGCTCTGCATTATACAAAGTGTGTATAACACTACACAAAGAGTGTACTACACTAAAAAAATTGTGTACTGCAGTTCACAATTTTAGTATTACATTTTAAAAGTGTGTACTGCAGTTTACAATGTTTGTACTGAACTACACAATTTGTGTACTGCACTACACAAAGAGTTTATAAAAGTTTTCGTACTGCATTGTAAAACGTGTGTACTTAAGTTTACAATGTTTTTATTTCTCTATGTTGAGTCTATAACTGTGTGTTAATATTTTTACTGCAGTGTTTATTATAAGCACAAATAAAAACTAAGTATAAATAATCCTTTCAAATATGTTTCTAACTTTCTAACTTTCTAACTATCTATATATCAATCTATCTTCTATCTATCTATCTCCTTGTCAGTATAATCAACCATCTCTATGTAGCTTAATATTAGTTACGTGATGTTTATATAGATAATAATGACATGTTTTTTACTACTTTTTTAAACCGGAATTAAAATTGTTTTAAATGAAAACTTCTAAATGAACAAAATGTTATAGAAATAGAATCAATTTATGCGAAGAATAATGATTCCTTTACTGTTTACCGCAATATTCCCTAAAATTAATTAATCCTATCCAGAAGTACATTGTACTCAATTCTTCATACCTACAACCAACATAGCTTTATACTGCTATTAAAGGCTGGGAGGGGGGGGGGGGGTCTTAAAATATGCACCTTAACTAGGTTTTATAGCTATCTCGATTTTCAAGTCATCATTTTTCATCGTGCTCAGCACTAGTAAAAATGTTCGCAAATTTGTTTAAATTAATGGATTTTAAAACATTATATATGGACTCTATGGACAGGATTTTAACGCAAAACTGGTTCAAATTTGACAATCCTAAAGCCTTCGAGAATCCAGAGTCACAAAATCGGGCCCCTTGGTTTAGCTGTTTGGACTTTTATGGGACACAAGAAGACAGACACCCTAGATAAATTAGAATAGATTGTTCATGCAGACTGTAAAGCTGAAAATTGTACAATTGTACAACCCCTTGTCATCATGAACTTGTCATTTGAAGAGGTCATTGAATACGTTTTAATTCTCGGGGTCAATCTGTAGAGTATTTTTTTACTCATTTATTTAAAGAAGTTTAATAAAAACTAGGCCTCACCCATTAACTATTTTAGCTTTTAACCCTAAACAGGCTTGGCCGGCCTTATAGTTTTTTTTTGTCCTAGCACTCTCATTTTTGTCACTATTACCGTGAAATTTTGTGACTTTTAATGAATAGTTAATCTAAAGAATTTTTCTGTCAATTTTTTTAATGCATAGGGTAGGGTACAGGGCGGTAAAAAGTCCGGTCTGTGTAAAAACAATCTAAAATGGCCCTTAACTTTTTTGTGACTAAAGCTACAGATCTAAAAATTATATTTTTAAAAATTCCTTAAAAAATGGATTTAGAAATATGTGTCACAATTGGATATCCGTTTAAATAAATTACAATTTCACCTTTTTTGGGCTTTTTTTCAACCTTCCCTAGAGCCCAAACTATTAGAATTATCTGTCTAATTTTTTTTCAATGAGCTGGCGTTGATCCGTGAAATTTTGTGACTTTTAATGAATAGTTAATCTGAAGGATTTTTCTGTCAATTTTTTTTAATGCATAGGGTACAGGGCGGTAAAAAGTCCGGTCTGTGTAAAAAAAATCTAAAATGGCCCTTAACTTTTTTGTGACTAAAGCTACAGATCTATAAATTATATTTTTAAAAATTCCTTTAAAAATGGATTTAGACAAATGTGTCATAATTGGATATCTGTTTAAACAAATTACAATTTTACCTTTTTTTGGGCTTTTTTTTCAACCTTCCCTAGAGCCCAAACTATTAGAATTATCTGTCTAATTTTTTTTCAATGAGCTGGCGTTGAAAAATTGGTCTATGATTATGCATTTTAATTCTATACCTATTCTCTAAGGCCTTTTTTTAATGGGAGGGGCGTGGGTCGCTCCCCCCCCCAGGCTATTCATAGATTCAGACCCCCCAGCCTTTATGGTTGACTGTCGCCCTGAAATTTGCCATTAAAAATCGTTAAAAATTTTTTGTTTAAATTGTTTAAATTTTCAAAAGTAATAAATGTCGACTTTTTTCATGACCCTTTTAAAATTAAAATATCCAAAACAGATTCTAACAGTGAAAGTTTCTCAAGTCCAAACACACAAAAGTATACAAGACAAATGTGTAAATGAAAGTAAAGTTTAAAAAATCTCGTTTATTAATGAGCCAACAAAATTGAAAAAAAATAGGAATGCATAATTATCAAAAAGTAAATCTTATATTCATAGGTTGGGAACTTTGTCTCAGTTGTAAAAAGATTAAGTAACATTTTGCAGCAGCCAATCGATTTCTCTATTGCATTCAAGACAAGTTGAAGAGAGATCCTGAAATAAAACAAAATTAGGTTAGCTGCAGCGCTTGGCCCAGGAATTGTATTAACCTAACCTAACCCTAAGATAATTTAAAAAATAATAATAATTTTGCTGAAAAAAAGGTGGTCATGGACAAAATTGATAGGGGGGGGGTGGGAGGGGGAGGGGGAGAGGTTGGGTCCAAAAATTGTATACTAGGACAGAATCAACTTAGTTAATTTAATAAAATAAAATAAAATGGTAATCATACCGAGATTTTCACTGTCCACATGTTGATTGTTGACACATAGAATTCACCAAAGTATTGCTATCATCCCAAGAGATTTAATAGTTTGAAAAGTCTTCCAACTTTAATGTGTTCTTTGTGTGTAAGGGGTGTCTGATTGTCATCATTATCACTCACATATCGGTAGCAAGAGTAGCAAGCAGCAACTAATCGTCGTTCTAATCCTTTGAAATTCAACTTTTAACTAATATGTCTGCAATATTTGTAAACAAACCCCCATAAATTTGTACATAGTACAAATATACTTGCCGCAAACCTTTATATCCAATGTACTGTATGTCAGTAGCTAGTCCATAACTAAATTGCCATTTTCAATTTCAACTGTTACCCTCCGGTATAGTGAAGACGACATGAACAATCTATTCTAATTTATCTAGGACAGACACCCAAGCATAATAATAATACAAATATGTATATGATAGGGTGTATTATAAAAATTAGTCAAGAAAGGATTTGAGTCTTTGCCACAAACTCTGAATTTCTAATCCTTATATCTTTACAACCCAATGTTGTGAATCTGAGATATTTCAACCAATGTTTCTGTAAGATCAAATGATCTAAATTTGAAATATCAAAGGTTTACATAATCAATTCGCAAAGATATAGGGATTTGAAAATTTTAGTCTGTGGCAAAGAATCAATTCCTTTTATCGGGTTTTTGTGAAGTCTGTTTTTTTTTTGACAAGATAGCATTATAGCACCTGTTGACAATTTAGCATTATAACACCTGTTGACAATTCAGCATTATAGCACCTGTTGACAATTCAGCATTATAGCACCTGTTAACAATTCAGGATTATAGCAGCTATTGACAATTCAGCATTGTAGCACCTGTAGACAATTCAGGATTATAGCAGCTATTGACAATTCAACATTATAGCACCTGTAGACAATTCAGGATTATAGCACCTGTTGACAATTCAGCATTATAGCACCGGTTGACAATTCAGCATTATAGCGCCTGTTGACAATTCAGCATTATAGCTGATTTGTACACTTTGAACTCCCTTTCAGGCTGAAAGGGACTGAAAAAATTCATACCGAGAGATTCTCTAAATTCCTCTCTAATATATATTCTATTCTCTATGCTTATAGTACCGGTTAACAATTCAGCATTATAGCACCAAGGTCACCTGTTCTTCTAATAATAACTCTCAATAATTAACCTGTAAGTAAAGTAAAAGTTTTAGTTTTATTTGTCAAGGTGACTCTTGGAAAATAATAGATATTAGTGATGGATTGGTGATTAAAGACAAATCATTATCTTTATTATAGATTAGCTTTAACAAGGTGTCAACTTTATATCTTTGATATGATGGGGGGGGAGGATCTGGGGGGGGGTAATCATCAAAAATACATCAAGAACTTTTCGTAAAATTTATAATTTTAGGCACGTCGCGATAATGGCCAGCTCTTGAAGGGCAAAAATTTGAATTTTGAAAATTTTTTGTCGAACTTTATAATTTTTACCCTGTATGAGCTAATTTTACCTTTGTTACTCAATAATCAGAATTATTTTCACATTTGAACCTCAGTTCTTCGATCCTGTCAGATTGATTAACTGTCTACACAACTTTGAAGACGAGTATAAAATGGAGGAGTAAAAAGTTTTGATGGATTAACCTTGATTTTCCTTTAGTTGTGGAGAACTGCAAATTCTTTTTGAACTCTGAACCAGCGCAGACAGAGCCGGCAATTTAAAAGAGTATCCTTTAATGAAATACCTGATTTTCCTTATCTTAGGGGTTCATACAGTTGTGTAATTTA